GAATCCCACGGAGAATAATGACCCCTACTGCCGGTTCATCAGACTTAGCAGAACCACCTCTGCCCCCCAACTTGTCTGGGTGGCTTCCTCCCACTTCCTTCTCAGCTGCTCTATCCCTGAGTCGGAGGCTTCGAAATGTGTTCATTTCCTGGAGCCTCTTCCTTCTGGCATGATGGAGATCGCCTAGAAATGTTTTGACAAGGGAGAAGCGGGTGTCGGTGCTCCCGGCCACCGCCATTTGGGGGAGCAGTCATCACATTTATCAACAAATATGTTGGTGACAGATGCAATTCTTCGAAATGAGTCCAATTAGTGAGTGCTCTCAAAGATAGTCTATTAATAGGGAATTTGAGGTATAGTAAAGCCAACAGGTTAGGAGACAACTGCCATTGAAAAGATAGCTTGTTACTCAGTTCCCAGGGGGAGGGGGGCACGCCACACCACTGAGCGGGCACCTGGGGAAGCCTGGGGTCGGTCACCAGGCAGAGGGAGGGGGGAAAGGTGGGCAAGAGCCTTTCTGGTGGTTTCTGTGGGGAGGAACGGTAGAGGCAGGGCAAGCAGTCTTAGGACCGGCTAGTCTAATTTCAGGGGCTCTGGGGCAGAGGGGCTGTCCTGGGTGTCTGGCACCTGCCCAGGGGGTGATTAGGTCAGGGGACTTGCCTTTCTCACTTGCCTTCTGGGATGTCATGCCCCAAATGCTCTGTTAACCCCACTCATGCTGTAGGACCCACCAGGAATATCCCCTCCTCCAGGAAGCCCTCCCTCACCCTCCCCAGGCCTCGCTGACTGTCTCCTCTTGTACACCCTACTCCTGCCAGCGCCAGCACTGACCCGGCTGGGTCAGAATCACCTGTGTACTCTTCTGTCGCTCCCTCTGCCCTGATCCACCTTAGCACCACCTGGGGACTTCAAAAATCTCCCCAGCCAGCACTCTCCTGCATGATGGGTCCAATGAGCACCTCTGTGGGTGGGGCCTCGGCATGGGCCGTTGCTCTAGTTCCCGGGTGATGTGCAGCCGTGGCTGAGGTCCTCTAGACAAGGAGGTCCCCGGCCACAGGGGCTGTGTCCTCCGGTCAGCTGGCACAATGCCTGCAAAAATGCGGGAGTCCCTTTCCTGAATACAGAAGAGGACAGCGCTGCGTGGGCAGTGAACAGGGCCTCAGTGACACCCCAGGCAAAATGCAGATGCCGCCCTTCTGCCTGACTCTCATCTGTCTGCCCACCTTTGGGAAATCGAGCTCCCCATACGGAAAAGGGCCACCTGCCCACCTGTGCAGTGGCTCGCCCATTTCCACTGGCCTCCTCCAGATGACTGCATCGATTGCCACAGTTCTTTCCCCCCTCTGTGTCGCCCTTGTTGCCATGTAACTTTGCAGAGTCCCGCCACTCTAGTTTGGGTCACGTGACTTGCTCTGCCCAGTGGGATGGCAGCAATGTGACATGGGTGGAGGCCAGAGTACTTGGGGGCTTTCCCTGCTCTGGCTTCTGCGATGGCCATTCGAGGCCATGCGGGGTGGCCTGTCACACAGGGAGCCATAAAGAGCAAGCTGAGTCTCCCAGTCAAGCAGCCAAGGCCGTGGTGGACCAGCTGACAGCCAGGCGACCCTCAGATGGGTGAGGGAGCACAGCCCCACGTGACCCACCTGACTTCCGTCTCAGGAGCCAGCCTTGCCTACAAGAGCTTAACCCCATAGGCCTGGGAGCTGACCTGATGCTTCTTGTTTTTGCCATTGAAGTCACGTGACCATTCCTTACCCAGCCTTACTGCACCCCCAGAAAGTGAATGCAATATCGCCCCCACCCCGACAGTTTCAACTCCCCATTTCCTCCAGCTCGCTGCCCTCAGCCCCCTCCCACGACGTGCTGTCTTCCTTCAACTCCAAGGTTGGTCTCTCTCTGCTCTGCTGCTGGCGGAGAGACCCCAAATCTCAGAGCAGAAGGAAAGTGCCCATTCTGGGGGATAAAACCAGCCTGAAAGGTCAGAGAGCAGAGCAGACACTGGGCCAGCAGAGATGTTTCTGGGAGAGTCCTGAATTTGGTGGAAGCAGCCAGGTTTTGAACATTATTCATAAAATATTAATGTGCTTATTTAATTATGTTTATATTTCACTGTAAACACGGCCAACCAACTGGCTCTCGTTAAGGAAACACTGAATGAGACTGATGATCAACCTCTTCAAATAGCAACACATCACAGTCTGTTTCGCGACACAGTTCACCAGAGGTTAGGGGTCTAAGTACAGCTTGGTGACTGTCGTTAATGAGGCAGCATTGTCTGTTTGAAACTTGCTATGAGGGTCAATCTTAAATGCTCTCACCACACACACAACAAAAAGGTAACTAGGGGAGGTAACGCATATGTTAATTAACTTGGTTGTAGGAATCGTTTCACAATGTATATGCATATTAAATCATCCTGCTGTACAACTTAAATATACAAAAATGTTAATTCCCAATCATTCTTCAATAAAGCTGGAGAAAAAAAAGCAACAATGACTAAGGAATCATATTAAAAAGCTGATGAGCGTGTCTGGTCATAAATCAGGGAATGGAGGCCACAGCTGCTGGCTCCTCTCTGGTTCTTCTCTCCTAGGGAAGGGGACATGTGTTTTCTGAGAATCCCCTGCTCCTAAATTTCCTTTCTGCACTGCCTGTAAAGGTGCTTGTTGGATGTTAGGCAGGGGTGGGGTAGGCGGGTGGCTATAAGCCATTCACTCCTTAGTATAAAACAGTGCACTCAGCATTCTGTCCCAGCCCAGAGCAGAGACACTTGATGAAACAGGAACTTAGAGAAGAGAACGGAGGGCTGGGGCCAGAGGCCCTTGGGGAGTGTGTGGGGCGCTGCAGAGCCAGGAGGCAGGGTTAGCACCCTGTGTAAGCCATGTGGGAGCTGGTGGAGGATGGGGAGCTCAGAGATGGGGGAGCAGGCCTGGAAAGAAAGAGAAAGGGCTGAGGTGAGAGGCTGAGAACAAGTGCAGGGGGGAGGTAGGTGGGGATAGATGGAGATCCGAGCGCTCTAGACAAGGAAACACACAGAGGGCTGGGTGTACCAGCCTGCCCTGCCCACCTGTGACTTCCATGCAGCAGCTGTGGGAGCCCTGTGGGCGGGGCTCTGAGGAGCTACGGTGTCACTCAGGCCTGGGGCACCCCACAGGCTCTCTGAGTCTCATCTCCTCACAGAGGAAATGGCTGGATTATTCCTAGTACCTTGTGTTCCCACCTTAAATTTGCTTCTGGGCAGCTGTCTGGAGCCTGAAAGGTCTTTGTTAAATAGTGTCTCTCAATTATTAGGGCAGGGCGCTGAAGATCTTGCCTTCTGCACCCCTGCCTTCCCCGACAGCCCTGCCACGGGTCCTGCAAAGCCCAGCTCTTCTCACCTGCACTTCACCTGCTTCTGTGATCTGACCTCGCCCTGCCCTGAGCAGAGGGACCGGGAGAGATTGGGTAATATAAGTCCTCCTGGGCACCTTTTATGTCCTGGTACCACAGTGGCAGCTAACCTTCATTGTCTCCTCTTAGATCTTCACCACCCTGCAGGGTGGTATTACTTCTGTTTTACTGCTGGGAACGCCAAGGCTCAGAGAGGTGAAGCGATTTGCCCAAGGACACACAGCTAGTTAGGGGATCAGCTCAGCTCCACGTCTGGGGATCCCGATTTTTACATACAAACTGAGGACCCTGATTTGCATCCTGAGCTCTGTCCAGTTCCCCTGGCATCTTCAGGCCAAACTTGACCTTCTACTCAGGAGCACAGGGATTTCCACCCACTGCCCCTAAGCACTCAGCTTGGTTTCTGCATCTGGCAGGAGATTCGAGCCCAGATGGTCCCATCCCCCACTCCTGCTCCACCTCCCAATACCAAGGGGCTTAAGCAAGGAGACAGGCCGCCAGAGACACGCTGGCAGCACATCCAGAGTTCCAGAGGGGCTTTGAGAAGGAGCCACAGCCTCAGCCTGCGGGGATGGTGAGGGGTTCTGGAGGGGCTAGGAAGAGGCAGCCCTCTTCCCTGAACGACTCCGCAGCACCTCAGAAACACCCCCACCACTCACTCCAGCCCACCCTCTTGAAAGTCCTTGGGAGATGAACCCCTGAAGCAGTTGGTGAATTTAGTCTTCAAGGCCGCCATGATGGTTGGCTGCGAAGCTGCCGTTGGCATTGACTGCAGGGAACTGTCAGGTCAGCAGAGCTGTGCTGTGTTGGGCTGTGCCTGAGACAGTGGTCCTGGCATGGGGGGGGGGCATCACCTCCCCGGGGCTGACCCAGAATAGAGGCCCAGGCTCATCAAAGCAGAACAGGGCCCAGCCTTGACTGTCCCAAGTCCCCCAGAGGTGTCCCTTAAGACTGAAGCTGGAGAGCCACTGACATGCAGCCTTGCTTTTCAAAATGGACCAGCGAAGTCGGCCTCACCTGGGAGCTGTTAGAAATGCAGAATCTCAGGCCCCACCTCAGACTGACTGAATCAGTTTAACAAGGTGACCAGGCTCCGTATGCACAAGAAAGCTTGTGGAGCCTGGCTGAGCGAGGTGTAGAGGGTTATACACGATTGATTTCTGGCTTGCGGGCCATACACTATTCCGTTTGATCCCTAGGACAATCTGGAAGGTTAGCAGCATTTCCCGTTTTACAGGAGATGACACTGCAGCTCAGACAGGTGAGTGGCTTTGCTGAAGCTACAGGTTCACAGGTGGGGCAGCTGAGGTGGAAAACGCAGGGCTTTCTGACCCCTAGCTCATCCCGCCTCTGCCCTGTCATCCTCAGGCCAGGACGCCAATCGTGATGTCTTCAGATGTGAAACCTTCAGATACGTTGGACTTGACCTACCATGGCAGGACACTCACCAGAAATTTACAGATGTCCACCCACCAGGGTCAAAACTAAAATAAAAAACGGCTTTCTGATCAATGTGAAAATCAACTCGCCAGAAGCCCCCTCCCCGCCCCGATTTCCCAGAGCCTCAAACATCCCACTGAAAGAGTCTCTAGTCTTCACGACAGGCTTACCGTGCTCATCCAGCAGTATGTTGTCTGGCTTGATGTCTCTGTAAGAGAAAACAAAGAAGCTGAAAATGTGATTCCTGGAGCCTACTGACAAGCACATGACACACGGGGACCTGGGGACAGATGCCTGACAACACCCAGCCTGCTTGTCTCTCTCTCCCCGGCATGAGGCCTCACAGGGAGCAAGGGAGTAATTACCCTGCTAACCAAGTGCGTGTGTTCTTGCTTCTTCCAGTTCCCCGGAACTGCAAGTAAATTGTGTGAATATTTTTTTCCCTGGATATTCTTAATAATTTCTGGCCTCCGATCTCCCCATAGTGGCTGCTCATTAATCGCATGGCCTCTGCTGGAAATTGTAGACACATCCCCTTCCTGATGCAATTTAGCCCTCCCACCTTGCTAGGTACAAAGCCTCCCAGGTGTTATCATCTCCACACAGAGAGGAGAACTGAGGCTCAGAGGCGGGGGGGTCAGGATGTTGTCCAGGTCAGAGATGGGCCACACCTAGCCCTCAGCCAATTTTTGTAAGGTCTGTGAGTAAGAAGGGCTTTGGCATCTTTAAAGGGTTTAAAAAACAAAACCACCCACACCCGCGCACACACACAGCAAAAACAAAAAGCAATGTACAAAAGAGATTAACGTGTCTCTCCAAGCCCCAAATATTTCTTGTCTGGCCCTTTAGGGAAAAAGTTTGCTGATCCCTTTTTAGGGTAACACAGTGAACCACATGCAGCAAAATCCAGGCTGTGGAGTTTCTGGAAAGTTCTGCTCCACATCACCAGTATAGCTAAGGCCCCCCAACTCCAAGCTGTGCTTTCTAAAGGGAGGGGCTCTGCTTTCTTCACCTCTGCACTCTTCGCCTGGCACGGTGCCTGTCACTAGCAGAGGCTGTCAAAGAAACACCAGAGCTGGACTGCAGTTAAAGCGGGAAAAACCGACTGCGCTCACGACAACTGAAACGGTGGGAAAGAGATGTCAGTACAGAACAGGTTCAATTCCACTCAACGCACAAGGGGGATCTACAGCCAAGGAGCAGCTGGGGGTCGGTGATGGAAATTTACTAAGAGGAAACATCAGGGGTGAGGGGGCTTCTGGCTAAACCGACCCAACAAGGTTCCTGCTGAAGGCAGGCCAGGTGATCAGACACCACCTGGGGAGTGGGGTGAAGTGGAGGGGGCCGTGAGGAGCCCGGTCAGGTGTGGGGGAGGGCTAAACTGACTGAGCAGGTACTTGCTAAAACTGGACAACGCAGAGACCAACAGGGAAGCCGAAAGTTGAGGCCCAGCTGCAACAGAATTCAGAGGGGCCTTAGTAGCGCTTGGTCAAGCAGACAATCTTGGTCAACACACAGGGAACGCGGTGAGGGAGGGATGGAGAAATGGGTGCAAAAGCAGCACAGCCTGTGAGGAACTCTGCTGATGTCCTGAGCCCTCACCTGCTTATCACGAACACGCATACACGTCCAAAGCTCTACATGAAACCATCGATTTTACACCTGCGAGCCCCACTCGCTCATTTATAATAAATGTCAACTCTTCTGAGGCTGACGATGGCTTTCTTCCAAATAGAAAGCACTTGTTCCTGGTTTATCAAATAGCCATTCTACCTGGAAGCCCACTGTAGTTATTTGTAAGAACATGAGGCCATGTTCACTCAACCTATATATTTAAATTTTCGTTTGCATTAGGACTTTTGGAGCCCATGAATATTGACAAGCATTAAGCAAATGGACCCCACTGCCAAGTGCACAGAACACCCACGGGGAACAGAGAGACAGGTTATTGGCGGAGTCCCCATGGGGAGGGGGAACTAGAGAACTTACAAAATCAAAACAAAAGGCAGAAGACCCAGGGTCAAGGGCTTGTGGATCAAATAGCAAACACTGGTTCCTGTGCAGGGCGTGTCCCAAGGGCTCTCAAGAAAAGGTGAGAAGAGGGAGAATAAATACTTATCGAAAATGAAAACAAGTAGTGAATGTTAAAGGGCGTCCCGTGTCACCAGCACTGAGTTGACCTTGTTGGGGTGTGGGGATCACAGAGGGGGTGGCCGTGGCCCACCGGCCTGGGCTGCTGCCTCCATGGAAGCTGCAAGTGCCCTGTCTCGGGGTTCTGCCTGTGCCCTTCCCTTCTCACTGTCCTCTCTCCCTGTCTTCCCGTCCTTCTGCCTCACTCCTTCCTCTTCCTCCATCCCCTTCCTTTCCCTTCCACGAACATTTCTAAAATGCCTGGGCAGGTCTGGGCAGAGCCTCCTGAAACTCAGAATCAGTGGGAGAGGGAGGCACGCAGGCTGCGTGCCATCTGGTGACCTGGCACAGGTGCTGTGGTGCCAGGGAGAGCGGGGCCACGGAGCCCAGGAGAAGATGGAACACGGCAGCTGGGGAAGGAACGGGGTCCACTCGGACCAGTAGGGAACAGGGTGTCAGAACCAATAAAAGGTGGGGAGGGTGGCAGACCTGAGGACAGGCGACCTGGTTAGTGGGGTGAATAGGGTCCCCCTCAGAATTCATGTTTACCCAGGACTTTGTTCAGATCTTCTTCGGAAATAAGGCCTTTGCATATGGAATCAGTGAAGGGTCTCATTTGAAATCATCCTGGGTTTAGGGTGGGTCCCACATCCAATGACTGGTGTCTTTATAAGAGGAAGGAGATGGGAGATTTGGGGACACAAAGGAAAGAAGGTGGCCTTGTGAAGACAGACGCAGAGTCGGGGGTGATGTGGCCATCAGCCGAGGCGGACCAGGAACCACTAGGAGCTGGAGGCGGCAGGGAGGAGGCCCCCCAGAGCCTCCGGAGCACAGCCCTGCTGGCACCGTCATTTCAGGCCTCTGGCCAGAACTGTGAGATAATACATCTGTGTTGTTTGAAGCCACTCGTTTTGTGGTAATTTGCTGCGGCAGCCACAGGAAGTGAGTACGCCTGGCAGAGCAGAAAGAGAGCTGATGAGGAGGGCAAGCCAGTCTCAGGTGGCAGGCAGGGTCCCCCACGGACCATGCAGTGACCTGCGTTCACATCTGAAAGGCCCCCGTCACCATCTCTGATATGACGAGGACCGATCAGGGGCACAAATGTGAGGGGCTTGGTAAACTAGCCCCACAGCTCTGAGGAGACTGGTGGGTCTGTCCCGGCAGGTCCTGCTCAGGGGCAGGCTTCCTGGGTTCCCACGCCAGTCCCCTCCCACTAGGGGGAGCCCTGCCTGAGCTTCAGTTCTCTTTGGGGTGCAAATTAAATATCTGATACCACATGTTTCCTGTGTTGGCTCTTAGCACCGAGGGGAATCAATGATTCTCAAGCTTTTATGGGATGTCCCCTCTGGGCTCACTGGGGCACAGCACAGAACAAGACAGACCCAGCTGGATGGAGCTTGTGTTCTTGGCGGGGAGACCAGCCAAAAGGCGTGTGAATAAATGACATGGTCACAAGTGGGGACAAGCACTTGGAGGGCCTAGGAAAGAGAACAGAGGGTCTTGCTTTGGGTAGTTGGTCGGGGAAGGGCTGTCAGAAGCTGCGACATTAGGTTGACATCTGAATGACAAGAAAGAGTCCGGCAGGCACAACCCTGGGAGCAAGTTCTCATTTTGCAGGTGAGGCAACAGAAGGCCGAGAGGGTACATGATCTGACCCGCGACGCGCTTCTAGCCGAGGGAATGTGACCATGATGGCGTCATCTCCACTCACAGTTACGTTGTGCAAGTCTCCGTCTCAGCAGACTGGAGCGAGGCATCCCCCCTGGCTGGCTTTGAAGACTGAGCTGCCGTGTGGGAACGGGCCACATGGCAGACACTGCAGGTGCCTCCAGGCGCCAGACAGAACAGGGGACCGCAGTCCCCTAGCACAGGGACTGAATTCTGCTGACAACCGGGACAGCTTGGGAGAGGTCCAGAAAGGAACTAAGCCCAGTGGGCACCTGGATTGCAGCTTTGTGACACCCTGAGCAGAGGAGGCTGCTATGCTGCGCCCAGCCACCTGACCCATGGAAGCTGTGCAAAAATAAACTGGTTGTCTTCAGCTGCTAAGCTAGGGGTTATTTGTTACACAGCATAGAACACTGATACACCAGTTAGACGACCTTGGGCCTCTTACTCTCAGCCTCCTTGTCCTCATCTGGAAGATGGGGGTAGTAGCCCCTACCTGCCTGCTGCTGGGAGTATGTACACAGCTCCCTGCGCGTGAGAAGTGCTGAAATAAATGAGGCGAGGTTACTTACTATCACTGCACTTTACAAGGGCCTCGGGAGGACTCGGGGCGGGTACCTGAGCCCTTAGCAAAATGAATTGGATCTCTTTCCTGGGAGACTCACCAGGCAGACTCCTGCCAAGCCATCCGGAGAAGATGGAGAGCCTGAGTCACTGGGGATTTAATAAGACTACCACTTGATGGCAAAGCGTCTTATCAGGGCCTTGCGGCCGGTTTCAGGACCATTTGCTCCAGTTCTATTTTTCACATTGATCGTATCTCGGCTGTAGCGCGTCATGCTACTGCTGCAAATGGGCTCGTCTATTCAGAAAGGGCATTAGAAGTATTGAGTGGATGGGAAAGGCTGGGATGATGTTTTCTGAGGACAGGTCCATAATTCCAGAGCTGGGCAAAATGACTCTTTGATGGAAAGAACGTATGCAAGGCTATAAAGCTTGCTCTTGAATTATTCCCGAGCCCCAAATAAAACAAAGCACGAAATGTCAGCTGGGCTATTGTAAAAAAAAAAACAAAAAAACCCAGCACAGAAATGGCTCTGATCCAGACTGCAAACCTGGACCGTGAGGACATTTCTACACACGTCTCTTTGCAGGGTTTCTGGAGTGCTCCATGCTGACAATCTTACATGTGAGTGCTGAGGCTGGGCTAACAGAACAGCACTGGGGAGGCTGGCGGGAGGCACGTGTGGGGGTGGCTGGGTGGGACTGACCTTGGCTGCTGACCTCTGTCTTAGGCAGCGGGACAGGCCCTTGCACCCACCCACCAGCAAGCTGATATGGGACAGGAAGTTAGCGAGCTTGGCTCTGACATTTTGGAAGCTCTCACCATATTGGCATGGACTGTTCTAG